GTCCCAGTTCTCTCAACTGTACCCCACTGAATAGGTGGGGTTGCAACTGCTTGAGCTGGGGACTGGATGACATCCCTCCCAACCTCAACCGTTCTGTGAACAGGGTAGACACTCTCAGGGTCACTACTCTCCATTTCCTTAGCTTACACATTGTAATTTGTGACAAAAAAAGTTCTCTGAACCTTCTTATTATTCTGAGTTGAAGCATTCATTCTTCTGGACATAAAACGTGTAGGTTCCCTCTCTATTTTCTACACTGAATTGTTTTTAAACATACACAAAGCTTTGAAATACTGACCAAAAATGACATCCTGCCTCTTGATGACATCCTTTTCTTGCTTGCTACAGAACATTGGATCCACAACAAGACTCCAGGACTCTGCCTCAAACTCTTGTGCATCTGTGCGGAGATCAGTCCACTGAGACAAATCCACATCATCTATGACAAAACATGTATCTCATTAATACCAGGCATATGAACAGTAAGGGAAGCCCCTTTGCACATGCAGATCTATTCATATAGCAAGGGCTACGCATCACAGGGATGAACTTTAGACAAGGCTTCTACAAACATTGGCAGTGGCTTTACAACAGAGAAGTTTGCCAGATGTCAATATCATTACCAAAGTGTTGAAATGCAAACATGACTGTGGGGAAGGAGAACAAAAAAACCCATCCTTCTTTTCCCAGATTAAATCCTTTTTATACTTCTTTGCTTGAAGAATTTTTTTTAAACTTAAAAATAAAATTGAACATTTTCAAAAGTAGCTTTGGTGTTGGAGGGGTACTGGCCATTTTGCAGGTGTCCAGTGAGAGATATCTGCACCACCCTTTGTGAGTGAATGCCCTTCAGCGTATTTCTATTCACTTCACAAAGGTATCTAGCCATTTTATGAGGGCAGTTCACCAGCGGGAGGTAAGAATTTGGGGCTACAGAGGAAATACAAGTGATGTAGATTTAGGTTTTGCAGTGTACACTGTCTATGGAGATAATTAGATGAGCGCAGAACAAAAGTATATTGCTATTCTAGTTCTGCAAGGGTGCCAAATACATTTATTCCTGTTATTTTAAAATGGTAACACCATATAAAAATATTCTAAAAGTTAGTTACAAGGAAGAAAGGAAAAGTGGTATTTTAAGACTAATGTATCTGATTGTATCATTTTAATGAGGGACACAACTCTAATTTTCAAAAATAGGTACTCTTCTTTTAGCAGATGATGTGGCTTCCTATATCAATTAAGGAGTTTTTCTGTTTTGCACTTTCCAATACAGGTTGTAAAATGCAAAGTCCATGCAATACTTCTCACCTTCCATCATAAAAGGTTCCATTGAAGAAAAGGTCCCTAATGCTTGTAACATCTCTTCAGACCGTGACTTGGATCTCCAGGTGCTAGTCTCAGAGTCTTGTTCAGAAAATGGAGTAGATCTTCTACAGCAGGAAAAAAAACCCACATTTATTTAATACTTTCAATTTTCTTAGAAATGCTGAATGAGGTATTTAGCATAGTCCCCTGACAGCTGTGCTCTACCTTTCAAAACTGGCACCGGGGACACTTTTGGACAAGAAGTGAGACTGTTGCGAGGCTTCCCTCCTTCCAGCAGACAGTCCGATAGGCACAGAGGAAGAAGAATGCACTGGGGAGAGCATCGTCTGTGAAATGTCTCCAGGCAGGGAGTCTGTGAGGTAAAGCGTATTTTGACAAAGAGACATTGTAGAGGATGTCATCAACAGCACAGTTATACTGTGAAATGCTATCTGGTGTTCATATAGACCTACAATGGGTATTGAGAACGTCCACTTGCTGTGGTACAAGGCTGTGAGGCTCTGCCATGGAATACAAAGATAAGACTTCAGGCAAAGTTGAATAGCTCTGGCATACTGATAAGAACACAATCCCAAATCATACATGCTGTAGCATTGCAACCTGAGTATAGGAGACCCGAATATTTGTGCATATAGTAAATTATGTACTCAAAACCACAAGGCAGAACTGACTAATTTTAATTTTCGTACTCATTGAAAATAAAATGTAGTAAAATTTACATTCATTTTAGTAGAGGAGGAGTTAATTCAACAGGCATTTCTTGAAGAAATCCTACTCATATTAGAGACACATACGCTTTCTTACAGATACTCAATTAACAAATAGAAGCACATAAATGATGTAGTAAAGTTCATGTTGTCAGTCCCATGATTTTTAACCAGGGCTTAACTTAGAAGTGCTAGGTTTATACCTCCTAACTTACTTGTTACAGCAGCTTGGGGTTTGTTTTTATTATGGGATCTCTCCTGGGATTTCTGAAAAAAATAATTTTTTGAAATTGCAATGAAATCATGGCTGATAACATACTGAATAGTCAAATCAGTAACTCACTGCTATATATCATCACACAAAAGGGATTCAAGAAAACGGTCCTAAATAATGGTCCTAATTTCTACCAATAACCAATAAATCCAAGTTTATTAGTTACTGTTAGATAACAATATTCAGAGTAGAATGATATTATTTGTACTACAACACAAAACTGCATCTGTTTATTCGAAACCAAGTCACCGAGTTACAGCATTCTACTTTCTCTACATGAATATTGCCTGTGAAGGCTGCAAGAAAAGGAGCTCAGATTCAGGGCTTTATATTCAAACAAGCCTGAATCACTTGTGGCAGGGCACTACCTGAGGAAGCCTGGGTATCAGAGGCCAAATCATCCCCCCTTCCAAAGTGGACTTTTGAGAAACCTGTAGCAGAAGCCTGCTGTGCTTAGGCATGCATTTCACTTGAGGTAGGTCAGTGAACATTTTCTGCACCTCAGTCTTGTTGAGAGGAGTCAGGGGTGGTAGGGGCTCTTGTCTCCTCTTGACAAATAACCCACCAGTCCCAGTAATTAAAACTACCAGTTCAACTGTCCTAATGCCCTGAAGTTGCTCAGAAATTTGTGCAAGGCTATGATGTGACAGCTACTAACCAAAATAAATAAACCCAAAACATTCATGTCCAGCTTAAGGCTTGTTTGTCGTGAAGAGTCTGTAGGGGAACATGTTCTCCCTGCGAGCCACCATGATGCAAAACCCGGCTACACCAGAAAAACACACTCCACTAATTTTAAAAAAGACCTGTATTGCTGTGGCACACTTCTCTGCAAGTCCCATTTTATTCCACGAGGGCAGAAGCCTTACACATCTATTTTTGATAGCAACTTCTTTGTCATGACAACCTCACCATGCCTGTGCTCCTACTTAAAAGGAGACAGCATCCCTCAGCCCTAGTGCTGATTTTTCCCTGTCTGCAGTGGCAGCTGGACACCGGCAGTGACTGCCTAGGCAGGCTGTGGAGTCTCCTCCTCCAGAGATTTTCCACAACAGGACAGATAAACATCAGCCCAAATTCTTACCTAGGAGCCAACCTTTCTGACTGTCAGGAGACAGACCTGGTCGCCTCCCAAAGTCCCTTCCATCTCTGCTTTGCATTAATTCCAAAGATATGGGATCCTCCTTCCTACATAAGGGGATATCTGTGGTTTTGAGGAGCCTTTCTTTTTAACCTCTTTCTGTATCCCTCCAGGCACACCATTTTACAATTTCACCTTGCAACTCTTTGAAAAGAAAAATATCTCTCTATACTCATCTTTGACCCTCTTCCAAAAACTGCTGTTGGAGCACAGTGCTTGCTCTGTTCCTCACATTAGACATTGTGACACCCTCGTGGCCCTTTGCATACAGACACTGGGTCTGGGCGGGCTGCATGTACTTTCTTTTTTCCTTCATGACATTTCTAGACCCCTTGGAAAGCAGGTATGCTCTAGTAAGAACAGTGTGGTATAGGAAGTTACCTTGGTGCACAGAGGAGCACACTCCTTGCAGCTCTTATGCACAATCACGTTGCAATCTGAAAGAGAAGGCATGTTTCAAAGCCTGGTGCCCAACAGGATCCCCAGCCCAGAGAGAATGTTGCTCTGAGGCTTCACTTTTTTCACTTTCCTCCATGTCCACCTTTTAAAGTGGCCCTTAGGATGCCCTGATGTTACAGCCCCTGGCTAGGAAAGAGTTTTTGCCTAATGTGCTGGGACTAGGAGATGGCCGTGATCCCTTCTGATTCTGTTACCTGCCATCCTTCTTCCCCCACTGCCTTGCTAACCTCAGCTCGTTACCCAAACCAGGTACATCCAAACCTAGGCAAGGGCTCTTCTTGAAACAAAGCACTGATCAGGATCTCAAAGCAGGACTTGGAATAAAGTACCACGTGAAAGCCAGCAACTACTTACGGGAGCACTGCAGCGACTCCTTTCCTAGGAGGGCCTTTTCACAGGCCATACATGGGATAACTCCTGAGAAGGTCCCGTTTGTAAAATTGTGCCTGTTCAGTTTCTCTTTATCTTTCGTATCTTTATTTTTTGCCTTCATCCCCAAAAGCAGAGGCAGGAAAACAGTAAAAAAGAGGACATTAGAAAAGAAGATAAATGGATTCAATTTTAAAAACACTAAAACATTCCCTGTTAAGAGCAAATTATTCTAAAACATTTATTCCCTGGAAGGCTTGTAACAGTATACTATATTATTACATCCAACACTGCTGAAAGTTCTAAAATGATGCAGGCATTATCAAGGAAGACTGGCAGAAATACATTTATAAAGCTGCAAAAAGGAAAGGGCCAGAAAATAAAATTCAAGAAGTGTCTCTGACTCACTGCACGTACAAGTATCAGTGCCTACATCTCCCTGAGGCACACATGCAAACTCGTGCCTCTGCAGTTAAACCTGCAGTTACGTAAATTTAGGTGATTTGTCCTTAGATCTTAAAAGGCATTAGAAATAACCTATTTTTAATGAGTGTTGATGAATTTTGTAAATTCTGCCTATTTTTACAATAGTCCTGTTGGTCTGAGCATACATTTCCCTGAGCAGCCCTGGTAGTTATTCTTTAGGTGACAGGCTTATGTACAGCTGCTGGCCTGGACATACATGTTCGCAGCCAGTTCTGTCACTTGTGAAGATAATGCCTCATCCAACCATCCTCACATCCACATATGTTCAGATACCTATCCTGGGGCATGGGACAGTGTACTAGAAAGCCTGCAAAACTGCCAGAAGGCCAGCTGGAATCATTCAGCCAAATCACGTAGGCCAAATCCATCTCTCAAGCTGCTAATTGATGCTGTTAATCTAAACTTCAGATGTCTCAAAATTAAACCACAAATGTTCTAATCTACCTTTCATAGTATGTATGTTTGACTGTGCAGGCCTCAAACCTGCAATTCTTTAACGCTAAGCAGTACTTAAGCAAGAAGTCCCATTAACTTCAAATAAGGCAAATTCAACTGATTACATGCCAATGTAGAAGTTACAGACTCGTGTGCTTATTGAGAGTAATTGCAATAACAGGCCCATACCTCTTTTAGTTTTATTTAACAATTATTTCTCAAAGGCAATTCATACATTTTAACTAAAGCTTCAAACGAGATCATTAATAACATCAAAAAAATGGCAAGGGAAATACTTGATGTTGTTTGGCAAAGGCTGTTGTTTAAAAGGAAAGCTGGTTTTTAATATGAAGGCCATTTCAGGGTATCCTGCATATGTTTTAAAATTAAAAAAAATAAAGATAAAAGTTTCTCCCTATTACTTATGTGGTTTTGTAATAAACAAAAACTTATCTTTACGTAAAAATTAGATTCTCATCTGTAATTCATTTAATTACAGTGACATAATTATACATAATGATATAGCCATAAATCCCAAATTACCTTGCACTTATTCCGTGTGCTGGTCATTCTGTTCATCAGAAAGCTGAAGGTCCGACTCACTTTACATTTTTCAGACTCAATTTTTGAGGGTGCAATGTATTTACTCCATTCTTCCTCCTGAATCCTAAAACAGAGACCAGTGAAAAGAAACCTCATTCCAGTGGGAACAATCCCTTAAAACAGAACAGAATCTGGATCGTGCTTGCTTCACCTAACACTTACAAATACATGTTTTATGGTGGATTTAGCTGACGTTACTAAAAAGACTGCAATCCCTCCTTATAAAAAGGAGTAACACTAGACCACGGAGTGCTCTGAAAGCGTGATGTGTTACAAGCTTGTCAAGATCATGGTTGGTACCAAAAGCCCCCTTGCTTCTATTACGGTGTTTTGGAAGTTTCTACAGCAGACAGGAGCTCCTATAACGAACATATATAGCACATCCATAGTATGCATGTCCCGCAGTGGCGCACAGCAAATCTCCACTGCAGGACACACATGGTGAGGAAAGCACAGAGCAAGCCAGGCTGAGCTCAGCACAGGGTTTAAGCCTGGGCTTACAGATATCCCCTGGGCAGGGAAGCACTCCCTAAATCACTGCTGAAAACCCCGCTGCAAGGGGTGCTGAGGCCTCTTCCCCGCTCTGCTCCCTAGATGGCATTCTTGCATAGACCTGCTCCCAGCGCCTGAAAATGTGGGTGCGACAAGTAGCCGTACCTTTTCTCTCGGGACTGCTCAGGCAGGCTGTACGCTCGCTCTGCAAGACATAAACAGTTATCAGATGGCAAGGTCGTCAGGTTTATTGGAAATGCACGACCTTCACCAGGCTGTAAGCTTGCCATTAAGGGCTTGCAATGTCATTTGAAAATTAGGAAAGCAAAAACGTATATGCATTAGAAGCAGCTTTTCCTAGGGTAAGACCACTGCCTGCTAAGCTTCATGTAGCGGACAGAATCTGCTAGAACTGAGATGGGTATTAGTGAATGCTAGTCTCTGCAAACAGTCTGCTTTTAAGAATGAAAAAAAATATTTATTTTGTTTTTCTTAACAACCCGGACTTGAATGATTCACACTTCATTTTGCTTTCTACAGAATTTGTTGTAAAATATCTTAATGGCATTCTTCTAACATTTGCAGTTACCTGCCTTATGCAGCTTTATCTATAGTATTAAAAAAATTTAAATCCCTCTACATAAAGAGTAATATTACTAGTCTATGTACTGCACAGGATGTGTAATGTGTTACAAGTTTACATCCTAGAACCAATAGAGAGGACTCAAGGAGATACTGTTCAGCAAACTGTCTAAAAAGCAAAATAAAAGATAAAACATTCAGTTGGGTTGTTTTGGAAGAAACCAAGAGAGACCATTCTGGCATTTCCAAACTAGAAGCCATTCCATTCTGCAGACATTTCTTGCAAAGCTACCACAGGTATGGGTCAGAAAGACACTTAAAAACCTGCCTAAGTCAATGCATCAGACTATGCCTTCTTTAAAGTTAGATACAAGTACGCTTCGCTGAATCAGCATGTCTTCAGACAACTGTAGACTCAGGTTAGTGAGAGCTAGAATATTTACCAAAGAAGCAGCGAGACTAAAAGGGCATTTCACTTAGTTGCCAGGAACAACCTGTGCCGCCAGATGCTTTTTGAAGAAACGAAGGCCATGTACCCACAGGAGGTGAAGATAGCCTCATGCAGAAGAGCGCCATGGGGTTGGAATTGAGGTACTTACTACAAGGGTGGAGCAGAGACACTGACTTAGAGAGTGAAAGAGCCTGAAGGAGGGATCGACCACTGTTCGTGAGCACATCATCTACAGAGCAGGGACAAATCCTTTACTGTCACAGCCTGGTAATACCTTCTTGAATAAAAGCAGGCAGTTGTTTTAAACCTCAGCATACTGAAAAGCCTCCATCAGAAATGGATGGCGATTGCTCACTTTCTTCTTGTACTTTGAGCGAGAAGGACTGTCCTGTTGCCATCCTGCATTCCTCTGCTATGGCTTAGGTTTCATTGCAACGTACAAGGTCAGCTGCACCTCCCTCCTGCAAAGCGAAGCCCCGAGCGAGTCGTCCAAAGCACTGGCAGCTGGGCAGAGGGACACCATTTCAGCGCACAGACCCCAACACAATCCCACTACAGCTCGCAGAGACCAGGATGAAGTATCTGACCTAGCTTCTTGGACCGAGGTCTGGGGCTAGTCCCATACGGACATGCGACTGCTCAAAGCGAGTGCAGCTCTGCCTGCCCCACGCAGTGATCACCATTGACAGCTGCCAAACACTCCGTTCAACACTCCTATCCCCGCAAAATGCTGGCAAGGAAGGGACGAGGGAGGAGGTGCTGGTGGCAGGGAAGCGCCAGCAGGAACCTCAGCAGACCACCACCCTCCCCTCCCAGCAGCTGTAGGCTGCAGAACAGGTGTGGACAGGGAAGCGTTTCCACCTTCTCCACAAGGTAGGTAAAGGTCCAGCACGGACTGTCCCAGGAGGAAGGGGAGAGAGAATGAACAGGACACGGGTCCCAGCCCAGATCAGGTCAGGGCAGGTAATGGTGTCTGGATGAAGCTTAACGGGCTGCAACACCAACAGACCCATAGCTGCGAGGTCAAAGGGGCTCTGTTTTAACTTTAAGCACATGTCACAGGGCTTTGCTGATCTGCCATCCTCTACTTCCATGACATTTTTCCCCCTTTTTCTTCTGCCTTGTTTCGCCAAAGACTTCTCACCTAATCTGCTAGATACAAATGGTTACAAATACATTAAGCGATGGGGGAAAATACAATGCGGCTGTGTGCTGCAGGCTGCAGTACATACCCCTCCTTACAAGGGGACATGAAATCTTGCAGCGAATTTGGACAACCACAAACAACTTATTTGCTGCGCTGCTTAACTCAGTTTCTTAAGGAAAAAAAGATGTCTGTGGTCACTGTCAGTCTGCCCATCAGCTTTCTCCACCTCACCTTCCCAGCAGCTTTTGAATTTGTTAACTGGTTTCAAAGCTAATCGTAACATTTCCACAACTTTTGTGTGTTTTCACATTCAGTGTCATAGAATGACAGAATAGTTTGGGTCGGAGGGGACCTTCAAAGATCACCTCATCCAATGCCCCTGCCACGGTCAGGGACACCTTTCACCAGGTCAGGTTGCTCAAAGCCCCATCCAACCTGAGCTTGAACACTTCCAATGATGGAGCATCCACAGCTTCTCTGGGTGTGCATCCCATCTGGTTCACTGTAACTCACATGTTCTGCCTCTTGCTCAGGACTAGTGGGAAGCTAAAGGTATACTGGAGGGAGGGACAAGCTGTATGTATGGCAATGGATGGGGTTGTAGGGACAGAGGCCAAGCCTCTTGAAACACAAGTGTTTTGTAAGTGATGTGGTCTATATGAAAAGCACAGTCTATCTGTTTCATGCTTTGCATGGTTTTCAGATAAGAGCCATACCCTTATTGTGAAAAGTGTGGGCTGTCTTCTAAACACGAAACTATGTGTCTAGAAATAAAGCATGTTATAAACAATTTGTAAAAAGCTACAAGCTTCTTGCAGAGACATCTCTTGACTCTACTTGATGGAGAGGATGGGTTTTGCTCCCTAGCCTATGGAGATGACAACAGCCCATCCATGTTTCAGAGACGCCCCATGACCTACAGGAAGCTGGGGCCATCTGCCCCTGTTGACACCTCTTCTGTGTCATCCTGAGCTTCCTCATGGTCTCTGCCCAGCTGGGGTAAGGATCTGCCAAACAGAAGGTGACTGCCCTTGCCTGCATTACTTTTTCTGACTAATATCCTCCCAGTCCCTCCCAAGGATCAGCTGCTGTATCAGAGGAGGGCATGACAGGGCAGTAGACGGGAGAAGAGTGAGGGATGATGGTAGGGGTACCCGAAGGCAACCGAGCCCTGCTTTCACGCACATTGGCAAGGTCTGTGTGCAGGACAGGCTGGACTTAAAGCCATTGGCACTGGGCCAGAAGCAGGAAGGCATGGGATGAGGCTCCGCAGCTGCAAAACCAGAGCACTGACCTTCATTCAAATCCCCAATGATAAAATCCCGAGGAATGCGAGGTCTTCCCAATAAACCTTTGGGTGAGGAGCAGGAATAGGAGCGCGACCGAATCCCAGACACTGTGCATTCCTACAAGAAATTGCAGCAAATTAAAACTTGTGTCATTGTGAAATTATCACCAACGGAAGCAAAATACATCAGTGACAGAATTTCTGAAAGATGGCTGATCACATGCATATGTTTTCTTAGCTTCATTAAAGCTTTAAGTTGAAGTACAATTTTTGATGACTTCATTTGAATTCTTAGGAAGTTTGTCATACTTCCACCATGATAAATTTTTGTGTATTACAGGAAATAATTTGTGGTTACAAGTTAGACTACAAGAAAGCTTACATTCTTTTCCAGTTTGGTGGCAAGTGCCATCCAAACAGTGTTGTTGGCCATTATATCTGATGATCAAGCTATCTTCTTTTACCAAGGGAGCTATTAATCTTAGTACTTTAATACTTAGGAACATTTCATGTAGACTAATGTCCTGCCTTGGTAATTACTGATGTCAGAGTTTCCAAAGAAGGAAGTTAGCCTCTTTCTTTTTCTCTCTGCACTTTTTTAATTGCACATGAAAAGATTTTCTGATCCCCAAATATGTCAATGACAAGGCTTGGAAGGAAACCCCCTGATTTTTGATACATCATTTGTATTTCAACAGAACCTACTCCTAAACTGCTTACCTTATTGTTTTTAAAAGTGGAAAAAACAGTAAAACCCATGGGTTGATATAAAGACAGTTTAACAGCACAGCAGAGGAAGAGAAAATAATATGAATGAGAAAAGAATACACAAAACAAGCAATGCACGATGCAATTGCTCACCCACCTGTTACCCAGTCCCATCCCCGAGCAGTGATTGCTGCTCTCCAGCCAACTGCCCCCAGTTTCTATACTGAGCATGATGTCCTATGGTCTGGAATAGCCCCCTGGCCAGTTGGGGTCAGCTGTCCTGGCTGTGCTCCCTCCCAGTTTCTTTTGTCCCTGGCAGAGCAGGGGAAGCTGAAAAGTCCTTGACTGCTGTAAGCACTGCTCAGCAACAACTAAACCACCAGTGTGTTATCAGCATTATTCTCACACTAAATCCAAAACACAGCACTATGCCAGCTACTAGGAAGAAAATTAACTCTGTCCCAGCCAAAACCAGGACAGTAGGCCCAACAGAATTCAGTGTATGTACTGAACTCTTTTTTTCCCTTTATGTAATCATTTGCTGAAGGTCAGATGAAGCTTTACAGTGGCAAGAAGTCTAATAAAAACATAAAGAATCCCTACAAACAAAAAATAACTCTACATATGTGTCTGAAGATCTCAGAAATGGCACCATGGTCTAACGAAAATGAATGTAGTCAGGATACTTTAGAAAATCATAATGAAGAGAAGAGATTTGCACTGGTCTAGCAATTGTTTTAAAACAGGCAGCAGGCTGGCTTTATGCTTTACAAAACTGTTACCCTTCCACATTAACTACAGCTGGTTAAACATTTCCTCACTAAATATATTTTGGTTAGAAAATGCTGATTCACTGAACCTGAGATATTTCCTTTGAAATGCTTCTGATAAATGATCGTTTTTTCCAAAGCTGAAGTGAATCTCTGATGAACCCTTCCCATGGCTGCTGCTGAGCCCAGCCACAACCAGAGAGCTCCAGCTCCACAACCCTGTGTGTGCTGCTCTCCGGAGGGACTAGCACTGCCAACAGGGAACTCACTTTTCCCCTTCAGATTCAGATGCTTCTCACATGTTTTCAGTGATTTACATAATAGGAAAACAATGCAAACCAAGATAGTATCAAATACCTTGGGCTGCAGACTGGTAGACAAGTCTAATCCATCTCTGCTACAAGCCATGGCCTCTGAAGAGCCGAGGGGAGGGTAGTGAACGTGGGATCTGTCCGAAACACCTCCACTTCCACCATCCACTTCAAGGTCATCGAGACTTGAACTGAAGCAGACAACAGAGTTTTAATTCCCATGAATTCTAGTAACAATCCATCTCAACCTTAATGCAACAAGCAAACATACTGCTGTATACTCTGATCAATGACAACCCCAAACACCTTGATCACGTCAGGTAAGTCACGCGCTGAGTCCCCTCTCAGGTCTGCCGTCACCTGGTCAAGGTACTCAGTTATGTCTGACCCAACCTTGTGGATCTGCAGTACAGATGTTTGCACTGCCCACGATCATGCAGACTCCCAGCATGCTCAGCCACCTATGGAGGAAGATTTTCAGACCCATGTTCAGCATCTCCCTTAAAATGAGATGGTTTTTTCCACCCCATGTACCTTCTTCTCTATATAGATGATAAGGAGATCTGAGACAACTAGCTCAGATTTCAGTATTAAGATAAGTGGGCGTATATGGCTATTGTGTGGATGTGTGCATTTCAAAGATATTCTGTGTCTATTCACAGATATCTTTTTCTCTATATCTGTGACTTGACAGAGGATGGAAGAGAAAAATAACGAGAGATGATGGAGGGTCTGAGGCAGTTTATGAGATTCACTTCAAAAGTTGTAAACTTAAAAACATATAGAACTATAAGCAGACAGAAAAATCTCTGGCTAAATCAATACTTCAAACACCTAGAGGCTATTTGATCGACGAGGGTCCTTGAGCAGGAGAGTGCAGTAAGGTTTCTCAGCAGTACCAGGGTTTCCCAGGATGGGTCCTGTTAGTTGCATGAGCAAGTTCATGGTCTCTTCATCAAGAGTGACTGGAAGGAACGGCTGACTGCTTGCAATAACATTCCAGCCTTACAACATAAAACTTTAAATATGTGTGGTATTTCTAAATAGCCAGAGTTCCTACCAGGAATAATAGCACAACAATTCCTTCACACACCACTACAATTCACTTTGTTGAAGGGCAAATCTATTGATACTGTCCAAAACTACTTCCTTATTACACTTCTGGTGACTACCTTTCGCAATGTTTCCTAGTAATAGCCCATGTAATGTCTCAGAAACGAGTTATTTAACTGCATTATCAGTTACTGTCACATTTTAAAACTGGAAAACCAATATGTGTCTATGTCAACAGGCAAGCATACATGTCTTACTGGGGGTAACTTACGCAGGGAATTTTTCTGACATAAAAAGCTGTTTTAAAGATCTGCTAAGTAACTTGCCACATCACCTCAGATACTTCAGGGAAGGTGCCGATGGAATTACACACTGATAGTCTTATTTTATACGTAATGTTTAGATCACTTACAGTTGGCATATTAAGGTCAATCATATCTCTCTGAAAAATCATATATGCACTTAAAACTCATATAGAGGTACCTGACCTAGGTCTTAAAAAAGGTGGGAATATTTAAAAATGGATAGGAGAGAAATGTTTATGGCAGAGAGGCAGAAGAAGATTATTTATAGTAATCTACACAATATCCCCATAGCTAGCAAAAATAAAAGGTTTGGGAACAAACAACTCTTAGTCTGACATTCATTGTCTTATCCGTGGTAAAACATTCCTCCTAATGGGACTTTATAGTTGCAAATGAAACTCAAAATTAAGGTAGAGGAAATGTTATTGCCCACTTCAATCAACAACGGACAGACATTACTGCTTCCTTACTGTTTTTACATAGACCTGATGCCCTACCTCCAACCAGCCCAAACACTCGTGAAAGGTGGGAGACAAATTCAGATTTCCTCCTGTACAAGAAGGAACTGATTTCATGTCTCTCCTATCCAGAGAAGCAATAAAGCCTTTTCATCAAGGAAATTTACTAAATGTTAAAAACAAAAATTACAGTTTAATCTTGAAAGCTCTCTGACTTCCTGAAGCCAACCACTACCCAGCATAACCTAGAGCCATCTGGAGGAGGGGTCTCACACAACTCACTCTGCTGGCAGCAAACCTCGTGTACCAGCAAAAGAGCAGGAAACAGTCTGAACCTATCAGAAACGTGAGCTGTACTCTGCATTGTCTTTTGAGGTAAAAAAATACATGCAATCAGGAATAAGTTGGTTCTTCTACAGGCCAGTGCAAAGAATGGAAAGGTCCCCAGAAAGTTCAAAAGATTTTGGACTATTTTCTTAAAGGAAAATATAACTGAGGAAAACTAGAGTGAAAATTCTGGTTTCTGACAAAAACACCACAATGGAAAATCTAACGGTGAACAGCTGATTCTTTTTTTTTTTTTTTTAAAGAACACATACAAGGAAAAAAGGTATAAAAGTATAAATTTGCATTAAAAATTAATTTACTTAAAGGATACCTTCTATTTGTTAAAAATGTCTTCGTAACTATTTTATGAAAACAGATCATTAAGACAATTTAAATGTCAGTAATTGAAAACAGTGGCTTTACCTCAGTAGTAATATTTATTACTCCAGATTCTGTTTCATCTTTTGAAATAAAAGGTTATCATAAATAATCCTCATTCTGGCCATATCACGTCAATTGCATACCTTCTTTTTTTCATGTCAGCATAAAGTTGGCCCCGATCCTTAATAAATGCATGGGTCTTGAATGGAAGGTATGAATCTGCTCCATATGGATCAGAAGGTGTAACTGTATGTATTAAATCTGCATTTTCTCCATTTTTCACTGGCCTTTGATTTCCTTCATTTGGAACATACATATATTGGTCATTCTCCTCAAGGGAAGGCGATGAAGAGCTCTTAGCCATCGGGATTGTGTTGGTGGGATTCAGACTTGTTTCACTGTTGCCACCATCGCCATGCACATAGTTAGTTTTTAAATCTCCAGCCTGCAGAGCAAAAATGAATGCTGTTAAGAGGCAGAAAGAAGATGCATTGTCAGGGAAGAAGGACCAGATTAGTTTGCCATTTTATTTATGGTTATATATTTCCTCGCCCCATTACTTTTTACAGCACATGAATTGAAGGCAAGTTATATGGCTAAGAAATTCTAGAGCTTGCGTTGCTTTTTTCCATAATTAGAGTAGCAATGAATTGGTATTTGCAAATCTAATGGTTTTCTCACTCATGTTTATACCTTTTGTTAAATGTAGCTTTTTAAAAAAAATATCCTTGAGTCAAGCAAAAAATATGTGTAATACATTAGTGTGGGAGTCATATGGAGAAGAATTCGAACACCATGCAATTTAATTTGGAAAAATCAGCTTACACGTCCTGCACTTTTAATTTCCTAATCTCTGAGATAAACATACATGACCTGGAAGAGAGGTTCTCTGAGAGAGGAAAGGAAAGGAATTTTTATTTTTTGCCATTAAGCAATTATGGCCATGAAGCACCCCTTCTCTTGCACAAAGAGAGGAATGGAGTTGGGAATTATGTTTTCTCAGGTACAGGGATCAGGATTTAGACCCTGGTAACAAATAATTTTTTGTGCAACTGAGGTTGAATTCTCCTGCAACTCTGCAGAAGATACTAAAATACGGTTAACTGTTAGTCTTTTAGTTAGATGCTCTGTCATCTATTTAGATGCTGAATAATACTGAAAAGTCACATGGTCAGTGAAAACACTCAACCTCCAAAGAGCACTTGCATAAAAGCAAGAAAAAAGGAAGGACTGCAAGTGCCTCCCAAAGCCCTGGTCTTTCAGACTGCTGACTTCCTCCTCTCCGGCCCCATTTGAGATGTGTTTTCATCCCCATCATAATGATGTTTCTCTTAGTAAAAGACAGAAAGAACTGCTGGCATTTTTACAGCAGCCCATATTTGCATTCAAAGATACAGCCCATGCAAGTCTGGAAGTCCTGTTGTGTTCTGCAGACAAAATGCACAAAGGTAAAATGCTTCTCCCAGGTCTTATGCAGCTGTTCCTCCCTTCAAATTTATTCCTGCCTGGGCAGCATTTCCCCTCTGCACCAGAGGGACCTCCTCCAGCAGCTGCTCCAGCTCCTGCTGCCTGGTGCTTACGGGAGAATTTGGCCCCAATCTGCAATTTAACAAAGTTGAATGTGGCTACGTATTGAGCAAAAGTTAGTAATCCAAGCTGAAGGACACACACCCCCAGCACTACGCTCAGGTAACATCTGCATCTGTAACAGAGCTGCACTTCTGCAGCTCTGTCCTTTCAACAGGGATATTGTGAAAATCAAGGGCTCGCAGATTGCCGACACAGTCCCCTGCCAGTTGCTCGCTCCTAGGTCATTATTTCATGCATCTTTCAGTAACCTTAGGTTTATTTTGAACATGCTGGCCTCTGACTGAAACTTCCATCTCAGCTGTCACAACGAACCAGATCTGCAGTGAATGCAGTGGCTGAAATGTTTCAGGGAATGAAAACAAAAAAATCCAAACAAACAAAAAAAAAGAGGGCAGTTGAAATCACACTTGTAAAATCTCAGCCTTCTTCTAACATTATGATCTGATAATTTCTTACTCCTATATTCCAACTTTGACCCCAAGGAGAGCCCATAGCAGGTTACAAATAAATAAATCGCTTCAACCGTCACTGAAACATAGCTACAAGCCACCAGAATTTGGCAGCTGTTTAACTACACACAACAGCTATACACAAGAATTGGACTAGTCCCCCCTGCCCAAGTTACTAATCTGAGTGTCACTGTGGGGGAGGTGCAACATGGTGATGTAAAATATAATTTAGTCTGGACACTCTGGCTTATCTCCAGTGCCGGTGACAAATAAATCAGAAACATGAGTACTAAGTCCAGATCTCCAGTATCAGAATGTTCTGTGCCAGTTTTAGGACACCAACTTCATCTTTTCAGCAATATCTCACTTTTGTTGAGCCTATAAAAGCTGAGCTATGAGCTTATAATTAACTTCCAAAACCAGCCAGCACCAGCAAATTCAGCTCTTTTGAGAATATACATAGAATTCAGAAAATCTGAAGTGCGCACGAGCAAGCTACATTGTGTAAATGTTTCTTAGAAAGAAGCAAATAGCATCCAGCTCGTAAACACGCAGAAGAGACAGTAAGAGCTACCTTGGAGCTCCCCCTACAGGCTAAGAAGAGTAATTCCTAACACCAGCTGAATCTGTTAAAAGGGACCTCATAAGTGGTTACAAAATACAGCTGAGAAGAGTAAGGTATTACTGTTTTTAATTTAGAGCTTTACTAATTGGCCACACAACACTGCTGACAGACATGGAAGATCCTGGAAGATCCTATCACACAAATAAGGTACTGTAACAGAAGACAATGAAAAATTCGTCAAAAGTTGAAACATAAGCTTACTTGGTCTACTACCATGCAGTTTGCATATACTTCATCACTTCCACTCAGCATGGCAGAAAGTCTGGTTGCGGCAAAGAAAGTAGGTGGAGCCTTCAGTTTCCTGAGAACATCAAGAGTAGAGTGTCTCTGCTCTGTAAAAAAGAAGTTTTGGAAAATATGCCATTAAATGTCAAACTGTTTTGTTCTCATGTATATACGCTGTCATAAAAATGGCAAAGTTAAACATTAAGCACCAAATCTTAGGACTACAATTTGTGTAATACTTGTGTGGCCACTCAAAAATCTGCCCATTTTGTAATTGCCTAATACTTGTTTTATGTTCCAAGAAGCCTACATTTGACAAAACTCTAAAAGGTACCACAGAATCATTCATATCTCTTAAAAATAAGTGTTCCTGTATCTTGATTAGCAAAATCTTCTGTTCTCTACCTAAGCTAGAACTTTGTAGAGATCTGTGGTTGCAGAAGTACAGAGGACAAGATTTGTGGGCTGGGATGACATATGCACGATCCTGGCCTATACATTAAGTACCTAACATCTGATACATTATATGAACAGAGTACTGTTCAATGGCAGTCAAATAATGACTATCCTAAAGCACTCTACCTACTGGGAGCACCATAAACACTAACCTTAAACCAATAAAGCAGATCACTGTTCTTAAAATAAAAAACAGCAACAAAATTTTAAGAGGGATATAAATAAAATAGCACTGATAGTGCCTTTACAGGGTGACAGCAATCAATCAATATTTGACCCATGAACAAGATATTTGGGGTGAAGACTGCATCTGATCTGCTTCAGGTACTGAAATAAGAAATCATCAGTTTCACCAGAAATCATTAACAGAAGTTCAGAGTTTAGTTTTCAATAGTGTGTTCATGACTGCAAATATTATAAAAAGCTACATGGGCTCACTCTTTATTTCATGGCTTTGAGCAGCAGAAAACCTAATCAAGTGCTACAGAAACACTGTCAGTCTGTCCTGCAGGCCCACTTCTCTTAAAACTGCTTATAAGTATGAAGAGCATACACAAATTCAGCAGCTGAGCTACTAGTCAAGGCGTCATATTATCTTCTGATTGTAAAAGGAGCAAAATTTGTCAAAATGGAAACCAGTCTTGTCCTAAACAGTGTGAAAACAGGCTAAAAAAAAATCACAACTGTACAGTAATTTTCCTTATTTTAAGATGCTGTAAGTCAAGCATTCCCATTGGAAGTGAGCTGAGATAGATTAGCACAAGAATGATGTGATAGAGAAAGTATCATAGCCAGCAAAATATCTGAAATCAAAACTCTCGACAAACTTCATCCCACTTTGGCTGTTACTGAAAATTATGCAAAAAATCCTTCTTAGTCTGTATAAGAAATTTATTTTCTGTAAAGGTGGGAAGGTAAAGGTACCTCTGAAGACTTTCCCCAGGCTATATACCTAAAGCAATATAACTGCTTTTGAAAGATCACAGAATCATATAGCACAGTTTGGGTTGGAGGGGAACTTTAAAGATCATCTAGTCCAACCCCCCTCTGGCATGGGCAGGGATATCTTTCACTAGATCAGGTTGCTCAAAGCCCCATCCAAGATGCCAATGGCCATCAGATTGCAAGAAAAGTTATAATGAAGAAATGACACTGGATTAGAAACTACACTTGTCAAGGTCTCAGGCATTTATTCCTCTGGGGAAAAAAAAAAAAAGTCACGGACCACTGCCAAAATGGCAAGGCTACACCAGAGCTTTTATTTAGTTTTAAGATGCTATCTCATAAGGCTCAAGAAGACTAAGCTCTATACTTAGAGAAAACTGGAAATTCCCATTTAGAAATGGCACACTATTAATTACTTGGTTTCTAGTCCTGGCAGTCCTTGTGGGATCTCATACCATTAAAACACCCTTACGCTTCTTATTTTGCTTCTCCCTCCTGCACGAATTTTAACATTATTTCAGCGACTGCCATCTCAAGAATAGCTAAAGTTACAAACTGTTTCCTTATGTCTGCCAAGATCCCAAAGCCTTTGTTTATAAATAGTATAAAAGCATTGTTTTCTACAGCAGTTCATCAGACTTTGGCAGCTAAAATCATACGGAAATGTGATTTGGCAAAACTGGCAGTAGTTTCCTGTGGCAAGTAAAGCTTTCCAAGGGCTGGTCTTAAACCAACAGCCAGGAAGACAAGAAACGTCAGGCTCTCCATTGCTTCTTGTTCACTTAGTACCTTCCCCAGCACATGCTCCCTCTTGTATGTAAACCCACTGGGTACAACTGGCAAGGGTGGCATTTAGCTCCAGCACTAGGCTGCAAAGGTTCATTTCATACACACCCCTAAAAACCAACCCAGGCGTTAGGGATTCCTGAATCACAGCATAAACTCGAGTCTTTGGAGACAGTTTCTTGACTTCAGCAACAGTCCCCACTGCTGAGGTCTCTATAGACAGCTAAAGGACTGCGCTATGAATTACACATCCTGAGCCAGAAACAACAAAATCCCCCTATTACTTCAAATTTTTATTTATATAGCAACTTCTAACACCACATTTTACATTATTTTAAAATTCTGTAAGAGAATAAGAACCTAAGTAACAACTTCTGAAAAAAGCTGCTGCAAATACAACATGATATATCAGAACAGGTTATCTGCAGTACTTTCCATGGGTAAATCATTACTGATTACCACTGCTAGATGCCATGTATTTTTCTGGCAATGCTCCAGTCAGCTTGTTTTTAAAGGTGAGATGTCTAAATAAATAATTGTCAGGGTTTTAAATGAACAGACAAAAGGTAGCAGGTTATTTTAGGCTTTGTGTTGCAATATGTACCTCCCTAATCCCACTCCACCCCTCAATTTCAAACACATGTGAAGGGACAACTACATCAAACTAACTTTGTAACAAGAGAAGAATTTCAAGACTTTGCTGAATGCAGGGGAGAGCGTTATTAATTACACATTGACTGTGCTAGTAACTTATTTCCACTGGACAGGTCCATGCAGTTTAAAAAGTGACAAAACTGTCGCAAACACCTGCATCACATACTGCATTCCTACAGCCCTACTAATTGCCTCCAGCTTGCCTCGCTGGCTCCAAGTCATCTTGGTCTTATGGGGACCATCAGCAGACCTTCCTGCAGGTTAACATGGCAGCAGGCAATAGCTCGCTGTGCTGGGTACCAGTAGCAATATACAGCAAGGCTGTCCTTGCCTGAAAGATGAGGAATATCAACAAAATGCATTTTCAGACAAAATGCCTCAAAAATCTCCCCTATCCATTCAAAATGCTTACTCTCACTGCAGACGCAAAACTTCAGCACAGCATATGGAAAGACAGATAAGATTGCCAAGGCAAACTGGCACTTCTTTGTGAGAGTGAGGGTGTATCAGAGTTTTAGCTCTGACAGCTGTTGGTGCTGGACTTCAAGATGCTTACTAAGGCAAAAATGACCCTAATACAACACAGCTGAGTTGCCCTGGTACTGAACACCCCAGCAAGCACACTTCACCAAGCTGATCCTCCTGCCAGAGCTGAACACTCTCTGGCTGTATACTTGTGCCATAGCCACAGAAAAAGAATAAAACAAAGGCATGTCTCCCCTAGCAGAGCCTGTGGCTGTCTGCCACCTGCCTGGTAAACAGTCGAGAAAGACATATGTGTTATTGTGTTATTTAGGTGTAGGTGAACAAAAGCCACAGTGCTGGGAAGCATAATCTCCAAACCTGGATAAAAGAAAAGGCCTTGACCAATGAATAACTAAGCACAAGTTCTCTACATCTTCTGCCGTGTTGTCATCGAAGTTATACAGCAAAAGCTGCACATTTTACCAGGCACAAAAGCTTATAAAAATACTTCAACTTTCAAAAAATTATCATCATAGCAGTAATTCAAAACATGCTTTAAGCTGGCGTAAGAAAATGTACAGCCTCGAATGACCTGTGTCGGAAAATGGAAAGAACATAACACTGACTGTTTTTCCACAAAAATCAAATCATTCTATGAGAGAACACACAGCAAAAGAGTGAAATACATCAACATGACCAAGCTAAGAGCCAGGAAAGAAATTACAAATTCCCCTCTCCAGATACAATGAATAGCTTTCAGGCAGCTCATCACATTTACCCACAGCAATCTGAGCAGGGGTTAATGTATATCTGGAAGTAAAAGAGCTATGAAGTCAGCGAAAAATGCAGTGTGCTGGTTTTGGCTGGGATAGAACTAATTTTCTTCATAGTAGCTAGTATGGGGCTGTGTTTTGGATTTATGATGAAAACAGTGTTGATAACACAGGGATGTTTTTGTTACTGCTGAGCAGGGCTTACACAGAGTCAAGGCCTTTTCTGCCTCTCACCCCCCCCCACCAGCGAGGAGGCTGGGGGGCACAAGAAGCTGGGAGGGGACACAGCCAACCCCAACTGACCCAAGGGATATTCCATACCATAGGATGTCATGCTCAGCATAGAAAGCTGGGGGAAGAAGAAGGAAGGGCAGATATGTTCAGAATTATGGTGTTTTGTCTTCCCAAGTCACCATTACGCATGATGGAGCCCTGCTTTCCTGGGGATGGCTGAGCACCTGCCTGCCCATGGGAAGCAGGGAATGAATTCCTTGCTTTGCTTGCATGTACAGCTTTTGGTTTCCTTATTAAACTGTCTTTATCTCAACCCATGAGTTTTCTCACTTCTACCCTTCCAATTCTCTCCCCCATCCCACTGGGGGGGAGTGAGCAAGCAGCCGGGTGGCGTTCAGTTGCCAGCTGGGGTTATATCACAACATGCAGACAGCTGAGTGCATGGGTCATGCAGGACTGCAGAAATACTCCTCTAAATCCAGAAGTGGTCACCTGAATTTAGAGAAAGAAGTCCATGCATTCCTGGCAAGGAGCAGACCAAAGTGACATACATGTAGACCATACGACCAGTTTCAGTGGGGAATCTGCATCCCTAATTCAGTTGTCTTAGTGCTTCCTTCAGACAGCGCAACTATTCATGACAGCAAAATTAATCAAGTACATATGAATAGCATTACAGAGTTTGTAAAGCAAGGTAGGCTTTGAAGTGCTGTTGTCACAAATTATTAGAGTAGAAACCAAAGCACTGCATTTCCTATATAATGCGTGGAAAGGGTCAGGCATCTGGATGCTAG